TATTTTTTACCTTGACGATATTAATATTCAATAATATTGTTACTTCATTGCCAATTAAAAGAGACATTGAGTAAGTCCAAGACGAACTTTAATTATAAAGTTTTAGTTTAAAATAATTGAAAATTTCTATATGTCAAATTCCACAATTTTGTAGTTCTTGCGGATTGAGGGGATGCAATTCTGGCTCTAACACAGGTAATGCTGGTACCGGGGATGGTGTGGGAGTTGGGGGTATAATTACAAACTTCGGGAATATAGCTGGTTCGCGAGGCTATATTGGTAGTCAGCAAATCGCATTTTAGAAATTGATCATATTTATTTGGTTTCTCTATGACAGGTAATTATGCGGGCGATGGTTTCTCTAGCACGGGCTATCCTAGCTCTGGGAATGGTGTTTTCTCTATCACGGGCTATCCTAGCTCTGGGAATGGTGTGGGCGATGGTTTCTCTATCACGGGCTATCCTAGCTCTGGGAATGGTGTGGGCGTTGGGGGTATAATTACAAACTTCGGGAATGTGGCTGGTTCGTGAGGCTATATTGGTAATCAGCAACTCGCATTTTAGAAATTGATCATTTTATTTATTGTATATTTTTGCCTGAAATTAATAATATTGTACTAATTCTAGATACCAATTAGAATTGTGTGATATAATAAATTTTCTCTATAATTAACTAATAAAAATTTTATTCTTTTCATGGAAAATCCGATTTTCAATATCATTTTAAACCAAAATATATACAAATGAAAGTAATGTCGCGTAATGGCAGTTTTCAATTTAATATTTTAATCAAAAAACCGTACTGTTTACACAATACGTAAACCATCAACTTTATTTAGTCACATCACCACCACTGAAGGACATTTCTAAATACAGTAATGAATTTTCAACTAATATGGTGCATAACATAAAACGTTTGTATTTTATAAAATGTAAATTCAAAATTTAATCCGTGAACATGATCAAAAAGGGCTTATTATATCATATTCACGGATTAATATTGAATTTACTTCTTATTTGAAAAGTTTATACATTTATAAAATTCAAACGTTTGATGACTTTAGCTGTTATGCACCATACTCTAACATTTACTTAAAATTTGGCAATAAGAAAACAGAATAGAGCGATATGTACGCTTTTATAATCTTTTTCATAATCTTTATTATACGAGTCACTTTTATTACAATGAAGTATGCGTGAGCTATTCTATTAGAGAAAATTTTTTCAATAATTCACTATATCGAGTATTTATTAATAGATTATTATATCGAAAGGATTTATTGTAGACTGTTTAGAACTCCAAGTTCATTTTATCGAGGGTTTAATTAGTCTTCAATGTACCGAGCGTTCACTAGAACAAGAATGGCTTGCAATAAAAATTCATATCGAAAAGAAGCGTTTAGCTATGTATGTAACAATGTTTTGATTTATCAGCATAAATGTATGATGAACCCAAATTTAGCGACATAAATAAACTGGACAGCACTATTGTTCAGCTCCATTTAGCATAATTTATTCACTTAGATTATTTTCATAACATAAATCACTTTACTAATATAGTTTATAATGAAATATAAATTATATTCTGATATAACAATATACGTATTAATTAATAATGAAAATGTATTATTGTAGCAGTTGAGCGCAAACTGGTTTAAAACACATTTTTAATGAAATAACTTCTAAATGAAACAAAAACTGTATACTGTATATGTGAGAGAGCAAAAAAGAATCATAATATCTTCGACAGATTCTTACATAAACAGTCACAAAAATTTTTTGCTTTTGGCATTTGGATTCTAATTAAATACTTATTAAAAGAAATTGTTCTAAGGCTTAATTCGACAAAATTTCTCGCTAAAAACTTCGTCATCCTGTTTCAACTTTTTTTTTGTCTTGATAATATTACGTAATATGCATTAATTTTGTTGCTACCTCATAGAAGGTAAATTTAAGACAAATTCTAATAATAAAAGCGTTAGTCAGGATGTACCATACCTGAAATGTCACAACATATTTAATGACATTGGAAACTTGAATAATCACATTGATTCTTATTGTTATTACGTAATATTAAAACTTGTAAATTACACTTACACTCATTTTTGATAATGATAACGATAACATCCTTTTACAAACTGCATAAATAAATACATGTACATGTATTAATGTTCCACTATGGAGATTTTTCTAACTATGATAATTTCCTCAATAGTGATTTTCCAAATTTTTGTAACATTACTCAAATTATCATAATTAAAGTTTGCAATATTTTTCGTGAGAGAAGCTTCACTTAAAAAGCTATTTGAACAAACAAGCATCCCATGCGGAAACATGAGTTTATCATAAAAAGTAAAGTAAAGAGGTTTTCACCATATATTTTTATAAACTGTTACATTAAATTTCGAAAAAATTCTTGTAATAAAAAATTTATAAGATCTAACAAGTGTAACTTCCTGATTTTCAAATAAAAAACAAAATTCCGAGTTAAATACAGAAAGCACAAATATTAATTCTGAAGTGTCGAAGAGAGAAAGGAAAGAAATCAAAATAAAGAAAATGTTGATAATGTGATGAATCATAATGAAATTAACCAAAAGGTACACATAGTCATTTTTTCAAAAACCCTAGGTAGTAACATGAATATTTTTATGAATGCATGCGCTTATTTGTTTGCTTAACTGGCATTATGACTTGTTTATGTCTTTCTTTATGCAACATTGCATTCCATGGTCTTAACTAAATTTGTTTATAGAAATTTAGCAGAAGGAAAAAAATAAGTTTACTTCCAAAGTTTCATAAAGAGAAATGATTGGGAAATAAAATGTCACTCAAATGTATTAACAATAACGAAAGTATTCGCTATTATTTATTAAATTTTGCATGAACAGAGCTAAAAGTAAATGCGACAGGTAAAAGGCTTTACAAACAAAAATAATAATGGGAAGTAATATTACAAGAGATGTTATTTTTACATTATTTGATGAATATATTTAAATGATAATGAAGCGAATAAAAACCAAAAATTCTTCTATCATAAATTTTTGATGGTTTAGCCAATAAAAATATGTGCTTCACCGATAACTTGGTTCCTGCAAATCACTGACTGTCGTCACCCACAACTCTGAATCGTCCTCAAATAAAAAAACCCAAATCATCAAGAAAAAAACAACGATAGAGACATACATAGATAATTTAAAAAAAGTGTTTGAATTTTAATTAATGATATGTACTATTATTAGTTTTTAAGTAATATCTATATCGTAATATCGGTTTTTATCACTGGACATTATATTGTAAGCTAACTTCATAATATACATTCTAATTTATTTAAACGTTTCTAAAAGTGTCGAGTGGAAGGATCTTTATTAATTTCCGATTCTATCTCAAAATTATATTCAGTTAAGATGTTAAAAGTCCGGTCCAGTAGTTGAGTCCCATTAAGAAACTGGATCTGACCAGTCTGGAGTCGCTGCTTTAATATTTACTTATATATTATTCGATAGACAATAATAAAAATATTTTTTTTTGTACATGTAAATTGTTTCTTATAATAAATAGCCATCTTAGATAGTACATAAAATATGTTTATCATATCACTATTAATGACGTGCTATTTAATTTTCGACTCACATGACTACCGGGACTGAGTCTTTCGATCCTTCCAAATTTGAAGTCGAACCTGAAGCAGTTTAACTCAGACAAGCTTTTTAGCATCCTTATCATTATCGTTAAACACAGTAAAACTTGATAAACCGGAGTAGTCCATCTATTTGAACCGGTTTATTGAGTGAATTTTACACCATAATCCTGTTTATTGAAACTTTTAGAGTATAGGATATCTAAACATATCACAAGAAATAAAACGTAATAGCTAAAATAGAATAATAGGCATATTAAAGAATGAAATTATGAAAAGATATTTTAAATTTCTTTTTTTATAAAATTATTTTGATTTAAAATTGAATAACTTTATTAACATAATTCAGCATGTCTCTCTTTTCAATTCAATTCCCGAATATTATGTAATTCTCCTCATTTTCACATTTAATTTAATAAAGCAGAAAGTAAAACAGTCTCCATTTTCTTTTTGATATGGAGCGTAACATCTAAAGTGATCAAACATTTGTATTTTAGAAAATGGATAAACACCTTAATAAGAAATAATACAAAATTTAATCCGTAAATATGATAGAATAGGCCCTTTCTGGGCACATTCATTGATTAAATTTTATATTTACTTTCTAGTAAAGAAGTTTATCCATTTTATAAAATACAAATGATTGATAACTTTAGATGCTATGCACCATATCTACAAGATAACTCTTTTCGGCAAATTGATTATACGGGGGGCGTGTTGATGTTTAGTTTTGACCCGAGCCTCCTGTACATCCGGTAAAATTTTGTTCAATAATTTTCGTGTTTTCTGTGTTTGTTGCTTTCTTTACTCTGGCTCCGACTGTAGTAGAAACGAATTTTTTAAAAGTTGTGATAACAACATCTTTCCCTCGCCTGATAAAGAATTATTAGCAGTCAGATTATTGCCGTATGAAAAAAATTAATGTAACAATTACGGTTTCCATCTTAAAATTAATACCGTGGAAACCCCTCTGGAGAAAATTTAAACCTTAATTTAGCCTCAATGCTATCAATTTGTATAAAAAATTGAAGAAATTATACAGTGAATCTTGATTTAATCATTTTGTAGAAACTTAATTGGTTTTATTGAAGAAATCAGACTAAATAAATGTTTAGATTTTCTCCAAGGTGGGGTGGTTTCCATGTGATTATAAGATACTTTCAATCCAGTCTAATAATATTTTGTTATTTTCAATTATGTGTTAAAAATAATGATAAATATATATTGCTTATAACAGACTATTTTTTGGGACCAGCTATAAATATCATTTACGTTGTAACGATGACAAACGGTCAGTTATATCGACTTTCACTGTGTACATGTATATACAGCATTTAAAACATAAAATGATTTGTATGTTTCATAGGACTTCCTCTTTGACAGGTAATAATATTAGCAAACTCAAGAATTTAATGAATTTCTAGTCAAATGTATATAGTCAGGGCTCGATTTATCGATGAATCTGTATTCAAAGATATCGTTAAAATGCTAAATTGAGAACAATTTCAATATAGTGATTTAGGAACAAGAGTCGCTAACACGCGATTTCATTAAATCGCATATTCGTTAAATCGAGCTCTGACAGTATATCGTACAGCTCTGCCTAAAGTAACCACTCCCTTTTGGAGAAATTTACAAACATGCACTGAATCTTGATTTATTCATTTTGCAGAAGTATAATTAGTTTTATTACAGAAATCAGACTATATTAAAGTTTAAATTCTCTACAAGGCGGAGGGAGGAACAGAAATGACAACATGCAACGGTAATAAATCTGTAATTCAATTATAATTTATAATTTATTTCCATTATATTTCAAAAGTTATATTGTTTAAAATGATATGGTGCAGAAACTCTTAAACCGACGATATGTTTCATGTTATAATTTATC